GTAAACAAAAGACAACGGTAACAAAAAGTCCAAGGTAACCAAAGGTCTAAGGTAACCAAAAGAACAAGGGAACCAAATATCCAAGGTAAATAAAAGTCCAAGGTATACAAAAGTCCAAGGGAAACAAATCTCCAAGGTAACTAAAAGACCAAGGTAACCAAAAGTCCAAGTTAATCAAAACTCCAAGGTAACCAAAAGCCTAAGGTAAGCTGAAGTCTAGTGTAACAAACAGTCTAAGCTAAGCTAAAGTCTTAGCTAAGCTGAACATGTAAGGTAACCTTAACTCTAACCTAAACAGAATTCTAAGCTAAGCTAAAGCCTAAGGTAATCAAAAGCACAAGGTAGACAAAAGACAAAGGTAACCAAAAGACCAAGGTAACCAAATGTCCAAGGTAACCAAAAGTCCAAGGTAACCAAAAGTCTCAGCTAAGCTAAAGTCTCAGCTAACATAAAGTCTAAGCTAAACTCAAGCTTAAGTTAACCAAAAGTCTAAGGTAAACAAAACGCCAAGGTAACCAAAAGCCTAAGGTGACCACAACTCCAAGGTAACCAAACGACAAAGGTAACCAAAAGTGCAAGGTAACCAGAGGTCTAATGTAACCAAAAGAACAAGGTAACCAAAAATCTAAGGCAAGCTAAAGTCTAAGGTAACCAAAAGTCCAAGGTAAACCAAAAACCAAGGTAACCGAAAGTCTGAGATAATCATAACACCAAGGTAACCAAAAGTCTAAGGTAACCAAAAGTCTAAGGTAACCAAAATTTCAAGGTAAACAAAAGTCCAAGGTAACCAAAAGTCTAAGCTAAGCTAAAGGCTAAGGTAACCAAAATCTAAGGTAAAAGTAAAAGGTAAGCTAAAGTCTAAGGTAACCAAAAAGTCCAAGGTAACCAAAACTCTAAGGTAACCAAAACTCCAAGGTAAACAAAAGTCCAAGCTAATCAAAAGTCTAAGGTAACCAAAAGTCAAGGTAACCAAAAGTCCAAGGTAACCAAAAGTCAAGGTAACCAAAAGTCCAAGCTAAACAAATCTAAGTTAACCAAAAGTCTAAGCTAACCAAAAGACTAAGCTAAGCAAAAGTCTAAGTAACCTAAAGTCAAGGTAAAAAAAAAGCCAAACCAAACCTAAGGTAACCAAAAGTCTAAGGTAACCAAAAGTCTAAGGTAACCAAAAGTCCAAGGTAACCAAAACTCTAAGATAATCAAAATTCTAAGGTAACCAAAAGTCTAAAGCAACCAAAACTCCAAGGTGACTAAAACTCCAAGGTAAACAAAAGTCTAAGGTAAACAAAATTCCAAGGTAACCAACAATCCAAGGAAAGAAAAAGTCCAAGGTAACCAAAAGTCCAAGGTAACCAAAAGACCAAGGTAAAAAAGTTCGATATAATCATCACTCCAAGTTAATCAACAGTCTAAGGTAACCAAAGTCTAAGGTAAACAAAAGTCTAAGGTAACCTAAAGTCTAAGCTGACCTAAACTCTAAGGTAACATAAAGTATAAGCTAAGCTAAAGTCTAAGGTATCCTAAAGTCTAATCTAAACTAAAGTCTAAGGTAACCTAAAGTCTAATCTAAGATAAAGATGAAGGTAACCTAAAGTCTAATCTAAGATAAAGATGAAGGTAACCTAAAGTCTAAGTTAATGTCTAAGGTAACCTAAAGTCTAAACTAAGCTAAAGTCTAAGGTATTGTAAAGTCCAAGCTAAGCTAAAGTCTAAGGAAACCTAAAGTCTAATATAAGAGAAAGTCTAAGGTAAGCTAAAGTCTAAGGTAACCTAAAGTCTAAGCTAAGCTAAAATCTAAACTATGCTAAAGTATATGGTACCCGAAATTCTAAGCTAAGCTAAAGTCTATTGTAACCTAAAGTCCAAGCTAAGATAAAGTCTACGGTACCCTAAAGTCTAAAATAACCTAAAGTCTATGCTAAGCTAAAGTGTAAGGTAACCAAATGTGTAAGGTAACCTAAAGTCTAGCTAAAGACTAAGGTAACCTAAAGTCTAAGATATGCTAAACTGTAAGCTAAACTCAAGTCTAAGGTAACATAAAGTCCAAGCTAAGCTAAAGTCTAAGGTAACCTAAAATCTAAACTAAACTAGTCTAAGGTAACCAAAAATCTAAGGTAACCTAAAGTCCAAGGTAACCAAAAGACCAAGGTACCCAAAGGCTAAGGTAACCAAAAGTCTAAGGTAACCTAAAGTCTAAGCTAAGCTAAAGACTAAGGTAACCTAAAGTCTAAGCTAAGCTAAAGACTAAGGTAACCTAAAGTCTAAGCCAAGCTAAAGTCTAAGGTAACCTAAAGTCTAAGTTAACCTAAAGTCTAAGCTATGCTAAAGTCTACATTAACCTAAAGTCTAAGATATGCTAAACTGTAAACTAAGCTAAAGTCTAAAGTAACCTAAAATCTAAACTAAGCTAGAGTCTAAGGTAACCTAAAATGTAAGATAAGCTAAAGCCTAAGGTAACCTAAAATCTAAGATAAGCTAAAGCCTAAGGTAACCTAAAGTCTAAGTTAAGCTAAAATCTAAGCTATGCTAAAGCCTATGGTACCCGAAATTCTAAGCTAAGCTAAAGTCTAAGGTAACCTAAAGTCTAAAGTAACCTAAAGTCTAAGCTAAGCTAAAGTCTAAGGTAACCAAATGTGTAAGGTCCAGAGACAATCGACATCTCTGACCCCCATTAGAAGGCACTGGCCTCCTTCCCACAAAGTGACAGAGCCAACCCCTATGATGGGACGATACCCTTTCAGTCCCTTACGCTAGTGCAGGTTTGGGATGAAATGTCCTCTGGTATTTCCTAAGCATGTACTGTTAGGGAAAGAAGGAAGTTGGGAGAAAAAAGTTGAAACTTGGAAGAGACCTACAATGATCATCAAGTCCAAGTGCTCAACCACTTCAGGGTTGGCCAAAAGTTAAAGCATGTTATTAAGGGTGTTGTCCAAATGCCTCTGAAACACTAATGGGCACATTGCATTGGTCTCCTCTCTACGAAGGCTGTTCTAGTTTTTGGCCACCCTCTGGGTAAAGAAACGTTTCCTAGTGTCTACTCTAATCCTCCCTTCACCGTAATGTATTCTAACCTAACTTAACCACAACTAGCCTAAACTAACCTAAACTAAGATATAAGAATTTTATTTGCAAATAAATAAAACACTTTTTCCACCTGTAACCTGACTTGTGTCTGATTTGTGTCTGAATGGAATGGAGTGGAATGAAATGGAATTGAAGGGATGGGACAGAATGTAATGTGATGGGTGGAATGGAATGTGATGGGATGGAATGGAGTGGAATGGAATGGGATAGAATGGAGTGGGATGGGATGGGATGGGATGAGATGGGATGGGATGGGATGGGAAGGAAGCCTAAACTAGCCTAACCTAACCTAATCTGAGATAAAATAACTTTATTTATTAATAAATAAAATACTCTTTCCACCTTTAACCTGATTTGTGTGTGATTTGTTCCTTTGATAGTGTCTTTGGTCCTGAAAACCTCTTGGCATTTCAGCTAGATAACGGTCTCATCATGATACTACTCACAACTGTGAGTGTAAGGAATGGAATGGAATAGTCACACAATCATAGAATAGTCAGGATTGGAAAGGACCTTAGCATCATTTAGTTCCAACTCCCCTGCCATGGGCAGGGACACCACACACTAAACCATGTCACCCAAGACTGCCCAACCTGGCCTTGAACATTACCAGGGAGAATGGAACAGAACAGAAGAGCTATGACATGTTATGCATATAGTTCTGCATGACAAGCTGTGATCTAGGTGTGAGGGGCTATCTGCAGTGCAGGTCCCAAGGGAGGCCAGTCTCCTGAAAGACTGCGCCCCTGCAGCGAATGGAAGTCTATGAGGAGCAGGTATCTACTTGCAGCCCCTGTAGGACCCCACAGTGGACCCAAAGCAGGCTGTGATCCCATGGGAAGCATGTGCTGGAGCAGGCTCCTGGCAGGACTTCTTACCTTGTGGAGAGAGGAGCCTGAACTGCAGCAGGTTTGTTGACAGGAGTTGTGACCCTGCACGGGACCCATGCTGGAACAGTCTGTTCCTGAAGGATTCACCCCATGGAGGGGACCCACTCCGGTGAAGCCTGTGAAGAACTGCAGCCTGTGGGAAGGATTCACATTGGAGAAGTTCATGGAGGGCTGTCTCCTGTGGGTGGGACCCCACACTGGAGCAGGGGAAGAGTGTGAGGAGTCCTCCACTGAAGAGGAAGGAGCAGTAGAGAAAACATATCATGAGCTGACTGAACCCCCATTCCCTATCCCCCTGTGCTGCTGAAGGAAGGGGAAGTAGAGAAAACTGGGAGTAACGCTGCGCCCCGGAAGAAGGAAGGGGTCCTACTCTGAGATTTGTATGGCAATAAATTAACCCCCATCCCCCCAAGTCGAGTCTGTTTTGCCCATCCTGGTAACGGCATCTCCTCTTCCTTGACACACGAGCTTTTCGCTGTATTTTCTCTCCCCTGTCCTGTGGGAGCGGCTTTGATGCGCATCAGCCGTCCAGCCAGGGTCAACCCACCACAACGACGAAGCCAGTCACAGCCTATGTGCTGACTCGGCAAAAGCAGTACGAGGTGCCTTTTTCGCTCACCCCGAAGGTGCAGCTTACACCATGCTGCCCAGGCCGTGCGTCCCCGCATTTTCGCACCATGAACCGGACCCTCCCTCCACTTCAGCGGCGACACAGGAAGGGGAGGCCGCAGCGGGCAGGCGCAGCGGAGGAGGGCTCTAAGGAAACACCCCCCGGGGGCGCCGCAAGTCGAGGGACGCAGCTCCCCACCGCCCCCCCCCTCCAATGAGCAGCCCCAGCGGCTGCCCGGCCCCCGACCCGCCCCTCTCCGCGCACCGGGCGCGGGGACAGAGCCCGCCCCCATCCGTCACTGGCCGGCGGGCGGGGCCGGCCGGCAGCAGGGGGGTGGCTTTGTGCTCCCATTGGCTGGGCTCCGCCGAGGGGAGTCTGTGGTTGGCTGCGGCAGCTGCCGCTCGCAGTGCGCTGGCGGTGGCGGGCTGGGAGGTGTCGGGGCGGGTGGCGCTGGCCGGAGGTCACTCGGCGCGGGGCGCAGCATGGCCGCGGCTGTGGTGCGCGGGCGACATGCGGGCTGGTGGCGCTGGCACAGGCGGGTCGCGGCGATGGGTAAGGGCCCCTCCCCTCGGCTCCAGCGGGTCCGCTCTGACCGCCGGGCGGTCGTTGCCGGGCGGGGAAAAGCCGGGCCTTCCCCCGGGCTCGGCCGGAGAGCGCTGCTGCTGCACTGCCCTAGGTGGCCCACGGGCCCTCCGCACCCCGGGGCCCGATGCAGCAGTCGGCCCCGCGCCTGGCGGGCCCCGGAGCCGCCTGGCTGTGCAGGACGCCCGGGAACGGACCCCACAGGGCAGTAGTGGGGGTTGTCAGTGGCCCGGCGCGCTCCCGCGAAGCGGCCCCCCGCTGCTGCGTTATGTGGGGCCGTGCTGGAGCTTCGGAGTGGCTCAGCTCAGTAAATGTTTTCATTCACTTGCTTAAAATAGCACGCCTGGGAATTATCAGAGCCCACGAGTGGTGCCTGTGGCACCAGTGACGTGTTGGCAGTGCCTGTTACCTAGATTTGGGGTGTTTGACCCTCTCGATCATTGTATATGATTATTTTCCTTAAATTGAAGGTAAATCAAGCAGCACTTCCCGCTGTTCCATCTCCACAGGCAGTCACTCGCATATATGTTGGTTCACAGGCAGTGGAAGGAGCGAACACATTTAAATGTCCTGTCAGTGTAAGTGAAGGAAGAATACATTTGCAGAACTGGACCTAGATGTTTTCCCTTTTCAGAGTCCTGAAAATCATGCTATTGTTTTTTAGCACTGTTTCCACTGCGGAAGCAAATGATTGAAAATATACCTTTAGTAGCCTTTTCAATATAATATTGATAGCAGCCTGTGGTTCATGTGTGCCACTGTATAGTTAGGCTCCACACCAAATAGGTGAAAGTTTTTCAAGTAGCAAAGAGGAGGAAATATGTATTTTTAATGCTATATGGTTCTAAAATATTGACACTTTAAAAAGTGTTTCAAGAATTAATTACTTTTTAGTAACTTTTAAACATTTGTAATTCTCCTTTAAACCTCATTTAAACTGATCAGTGAAAAGTGTTTGACACAATTTTGAAATTAGCTTTCAGTGTTATCTTTGCTTGACTCTCTCAGTAATGCATGATTTTTATGGTTTTTTTTTACAGTTGCAGCTCTGGTACTGTGCTAAGGAATAGCTCAGGTGCAGTAGGCATATTGGTCACATGCTAGTAAAGTTAAATACAGGAGACCTGTTTGTGTATTTATTACTGTCTGTGATAACACAGTTCAAATCAATAGCTTTCAGTGTATTTTGAACTTGCAGTGCATGGTAGCTGGTGGAATTTTTGTAAGAGCTTTGAAATACACTGTCTTTGTCAATATCCCAATGGTCATATTTAACACAGAGAAGATAGAAGAGATCTTGGTTTTTGGTGGTAAGAGCAGGTGTGAGAAGCAACCGAAAACATTACACTGGCCCTTAAAGTTGAAAAATACAGTTTGTCCATGCCTGAAGACCTGAGTGAGAAACTGTGACTGAGTCTAAACAGAAATTGTGACTCTCCCAAGAAACTTCCATAGAACAGAATTTCACTCACAGCATTTATCTTCTGGCTTAGTAGTGACTGCTGAAAGTCCTGTTGGTTCTGACAAGTGTTTATGAGATGAAGGTCTAAGCATTAAGACTTCTTAACTGCTGAGCTCTACTGCTTAGTTATATGTTGAGATTTCCCCATCTCTAATGCGCTTATTAGGCTTGCCATCCTTTTCTTTAGTTTTGAATAGCCTAGAAGTTGTCTTTAGATCAGTGTTTTCTTCACGTATCATTCTGAGTGAAACACCATCCTAGCGAAAGAACTCTGCCAGATCCAAGAGCTGTCCAACACCATAGCTTGGTTAGTGAGCAGACTATCTTCATTCACTTACAAATGCTCCTCAATTTCTTGTCAGTTGCTCTTTGCAGCTGGTGCAGACCATGATGGTTTGTTTCTTCTGTATGATTATACTAGAGACTGTTAAATCGTCAAGGAGGAAAGTAACAGAATGCAGATTTTGGAGGAGCATCTAAAGTGTGTATGTTCATGTATTACCAAGTTAGACAGAGACCTTGTATTGTAATTTGCAGTTGGCAGTCACTGGCAAATGTGCTTCATGGAGAGGGTGTATATGACCTTACTTGGAGATACGTTTTTGGTGTATGTGGAAAAATCCTCCCCGGGGATTACTAGAGGGGATAAAGTGGGGGTTAATGAGGTGTCATGGCTGAGAAAGGAAGATTTTTCTGGTGAATGAAGATTCATCAACTCAAGTGTTCATCAGAGGAGACAGTACCCTGCTAGAGAAAGAAAATGTCTTTACAAGTAATTTTGAATGAATAGTAATGGCCCATTCAGTTAATAGTTAAATAGTACTTTTGTTCGTGCAGGAGTTGTGTTTGAACTGTCAAATGTTTGCATGCTCTGTTGCACAGAAGCGTTAATTACAAAGCAAGGATTATGACAGAAAGACCCGCCATGACACAAGTCAAGCACATTGCTAAATGGAGGGATCAAGTGTAGTGTACACTTGATACTCTTTTAGACGAAAAGTACTTCCTACATATTTTTGTCCTCAATGTATTAGCAAACACTTAATGAGGTATAGCCACAGATAAGAAAAATGAGGTAAGAAGACTCTGACTGTTGCAGGATTGCATGTCTGGTTTTCATCAGCAGACCTTTGCGGGGGCAATGAAAAGTAAATTGGATGTTTTTAGTGTAAAGCTGGCCAAATTTTGAGTCGGATAATCTTCTTAAATTATGATTTTGGCAGAGTGCAGTTCTGAAAATCATTGCATAACCTTTAAAAGCCTGTGACCCTGGGGCAACTTAAATTCCATTGGCAAAGCTGCTAGGAGCAGAAAGACCTAATTCTGCCTGTGTACCGCTGGCCTCTCTTAACTTCTGTATTTCTCAATCTAGTTCCCTCCAGGATCTAGATCAGTAGAGGTTTTGTAAGTTTCTATAGAGAAGTCTGCAAAGAACACAGAAGCTCTCTCTTTTCATTTTTTTTCAAAACACGAAGGAGAAAAGGGATCATGTCTTCTCTTGTACCAGATTGAGGATGCTAAATCAGTGGCAAAATCCTTTGTTTAGTGGCTTATATTGAATTGTGTCCCTCTCCTTGTTAAGTTACTTCATATGCAGCTGTACTTCCTGAGCAATACTAGTGACATCAGTAGCTGACCTTCCTCTGTGAATCTTCCCCTGCTCCTGTTAAATCTCTCCGACTGGGTTGGGAAAGAGCTCAAGTTTGACTGATGCAGAAAGATCGAGAATATTAATGCAACTTTGATTAGGAAATTTGTATGGGACAGGAATGTGTGGGCTATTCTCTCTTGTTCCAGATTTATTGGTTTCATTTGACTGTGGGGCTACAGATTCTATCCCAAGAGCTAGAAATTTTGGAGAACATGGTTCAAAATAGATTTTATAAAGCCAAAAAGTAAGTAATATAGTTGAGATTACAATTTGAGAGTTGCTGGTTTCTCAGTCCTGTCCTTGGCTGGTTAATCTGTGCTTTCCAGCCGAGTACAACCATGTTGGACCTTCTCCAGCTCTACTGTCTGTGGTCCTATCCAGCTGTTAGTTCTATTTTGTTTAAATACGAAGAGATTTCCTCTACACTGCATATTGTAGTGACTGTGCAGTCTGGTATTTGCAGTGAATTCAAGGCACCACTGGAGCTGAAATTTCTTCTAAGAACTGTAAGAGTCATTAGGTTGGGAGACAGTGTAAAATGAAAGGTAAACATCTAAACTTGTAACTGTAATCATTCAGATTAAAAAGATAATTGTTTTGAGTATCTTTATGTAGAAGCTTGAAAAGACAAGTTTTAGGTCATCAACAGGCCAGATATTCTATGGTCAAGATTGCAAACTGTGCATTCCTGAATTTGCTCTCTTAATGGATGTGTTCTATTCAAGAAAAGACATTCAAAGATTCATAAACAATTATTTTTTAATCAGATTATTTTTAAGGTAAAATTCTTATGAAATTGTAGATTAGGCCAAGTGCTACTATTGTAGGCTGACTTTTCAAAGCAAAACATTTTAATCTGTATTGTCTGTAAACCCCCAATATGGCAAGAGGGTCATAAATTAATTCTTCTCATCAATGGAGTCTCCATAGTCATGGGGCTCTGTGAGCACATGTTCCCTCAAGAGTATAATGAAGAATCTCCTGGGGAAAGCCCGAATTCTTTGGAGTCAGTGTAGCTGTAGCTGGTTTTACTGACTATTAACTTGATCTATAGATTAATCTGTGTTGCTGGTTCTGTTTCCAGTGAAGGAGAATTAGTTGCACATTGTATCAGTGCTTATTTTAAAAGTACCTTCTGTTACTTCTCTGTCCTCTGTTAGAATTTTAATGTGCACTGAGCATTTTTCCAGCCATGTGATTGCAGCAGGTTACTGTAAATTTTATGGTTGAAGTAAAATGGACTCAATGCCACAGGGACAGTTTCTGCGAATGCTTCTACAATTGATTGGATTAGTTAAGCCTATGTGTATGTGGCTTTGCAGAATACCATTGTTTGAATTATACATTTATTTCAAAACTGATCCTGTGCCATTTATCACATGGTGAACAGTGCCTGGATATTCAAGCTGGACATCACTTTCCATGATAGCACCTGTGGAGTTTCATTTAATATGAAGATGTGAAAAATCATGTCTTAAACATCCTCTGTTTGGCAAACCCCCGCTGTCTTAAGCAGTCATTAAAAAATATGCCATGATTCTAAATGCAGTTGATTCAAATTTAATTGAAATCGGGTATATCCGTGAGCTAATTTTGTCAGTCCTTGAAAGCAGTTTTTCTCTATTTGAGTACCTGGGGATCTGGAGTTTTTTTCAAAGCTGTTTATCGAATTACATAATTGTGAAGTGTCTAATTTAACACTGGGCTGTGAAAAGTTTACACTAAGAAGTCAGAAACCGAGTCAGGAATAGGACTATTTCTCTTACAGGGCCCAATTCCTGTGGATTTCAATATGTTCTAGTTAGCACAGACAGAAAATGATCCCTGATTCATGAACTAACATAAGAGAAAATCAACAGAGACAGACAAAGGGGAAAATAATAGAATACAGTGACTCAAAACTAAAAATACCAACAGCATGTTGCCTTGTATTCCAGCTTAGCTGTTGCTATGCCTTGTGGGGATACTGCAAAATTATGATTTTTAAGGAAGGTCTTACAGTAGAAGAATGAGTTGGTTTCATGGATATTTACATTGTGAACAGCTGCCTGAGAGAAGTAATAGAAATGCTTGTTGGCAACAGGCCTGTCATTGCAGTCCAATTACCAGTTCATGTCTTCATAGTAAGATGTGATGATAGCCATGAAAAGTTGTCAAAGCAAAGCAGTCTTAGGTGACATAATAGAGAAAAGTATGGCAGGATGCAAAGAAGGAACAACAGAAAGTAGCATGGGCAAAATGTCCTTCTGAATTCCCAATATTTCCATGAAGATCAAGGCAAGATTATTTCTGTTAAATTAACCCAGATGACCATGTTCTGAAGTAGCTGAGATCTCAGATGTGATGAATGAGGAATTGATCAAATTTAAGCAGATCATGGATGGATCTTCTAAGCTTTAGGTGTGCATGACAGGCATCACTGCTGGTGTTCTGATACAGAAAAAAAAGGTATCAAGAAAGTTTTCTGAAGATGCTGAAGAGATTTCTTGATGTTTAGCTTGAGATGATGGTTAGATATCCATGAGATAGTATGAGGAAAGCAGCAATCAGGATAAAAGTGAAGTCTACAAGAATGAGCCTAGACATGGCAGCCAGATTTATGCTTCTGATAAGGTTACTTGGAATTCACAAAGAAGACTGAGGTTTCGAAGCAAGGCTATCTTTAAAGGTAGACCAGGTTGCTCTGGGTGCTCCAAGGTTGCTCCAAGGATGTAGGTTCCACCACTTCTCTGTGCAGCCTGTTGTAGTGCAGAACCTTTCTCATCATCAGGGATGCTTTTCTTATTTCCAACTGGAATTTCCCTTCCTGCAGCTTCTGGCTGTTGTCCCATGTCCTATTGTTGTGCACCTCTATGAGGAATCTGGCTTCATTTGCCCTGTAACTCTTCTTTCCTCTCACTCTGTATGTAATAGAAGACTGCAGTTAGCCTTTGCTTAAACAAGATAAGCAAAGACAGTTCCCTTAACCTCTGGTCATACACCATATCATCCAGCTCCTTGTTCATAATACTTGATATCTGCTGGGCTGTCTGCAGTTTGACCACATCTCGGTATGTCCTTGCTAATATTGCATGTTATGTCATTTATCTTTTGCTGCATGGATGCACTACTTACTCAACTTGCTCTCTGTGGGAATCCACAGGTTCCGCAGAGCTGCAACCTGTGTAGCCAGTCCTCAGCTTGCCATAACATCTGCTGCCCAAAGCACAGGACATTGTATTTGTCTTTGTTGAACTTCTTAAGGCCCGTGTCCTCAACCTTTCTGACTGGTAGTCCTACCCTGCAGTTTTTCAGCTATTCCCCCCATTTGGGTGTCACATGTGGTCTTGCTGAGGGTGCTTATGTCCCATCACCAGAGTCACTGATGAAATTTTTAAACAGCAGCAGCCCCAGTATTGACCTATGAGGAACATCACACATAACTGACTGTAGCTGGTCTTCGAACCACTAATTACTGTTGTTTAAGCCTAGCATTCCAGACGGTATTTCATCCATCAGTCCAGTCCAGTGCATACTTTCCACATTTGGCTAGTGGAATATTAGAGGAGACTGTTTTGAAAGCTTTGTTGAAGTCAAGGTAAGTAAGATCCCCTGGTGCTAAGTGGTGGAGAAAGAAAGATGCTGAAAACCAGGACTTGAACTTCTTCAGGAAGCTGGAATCTTTGGGCCAACAAGAGGAGCAATCTTAGAGTAGTGTAAGTGATGTACTGGGTACATGATGATTACTATGGCTCATGATGGTGGTTTAGGCTCTTAGTTCATTCGTTTCCTAGATCTGACATCTAGCGCTTCTAAAAAAAGCAATGTGCTCTTTTCGTGACTTATCTCAGTTCTTACTCAGCATTTTCCCAGTGCAGTTTTCTTTTAAATTGTGCTACTTCTCTAGCTATGTAATTGCTGCAGGCATCCGTGGAAATTGTCTCAGACCAAAGTTCTCTCAACAAACCTGATTTATTAAATGTGACACTTCCAGAATAGTGCTGCAGATCAAAGAGCATGGCCATTGCTGGCTAAGAAGGAGCTTGAAGTCAGAAAGACTTTAAAATGATTAATCAAGTGTTATTGGCCTAGAGAGGATTCTTTGCTAAGCATTAGGACCTCTTAGAGTCTCGATCCAGCTTAGACATGCTCTCTGTATGTGTGCTTCAGTTACAGTAGTTCTGTAGTTAGTTAGCCTCTTTCTGGCTGCTTAGATGCCACATTCCTTAGTGTTTATTCTGCATAACCTTTTCCTTTGTTGTAAAGGAGAAATTATTTTATGAATTGGCAAAGAAATCTCAGCGCTGGCAAATTGTGCTAATTTGGAGTGATGAGATGGTAATTGCGGTAGATGAATACCCGCAGTGCTATTTCTTGTCCAGCAGTTGATACTTGCTACTACTTGTAAAAACTGACTGAAACTGTAGCATTTTCCACAGATTGTAGGTTATGCTTTATAGTTCGGTATTGTTAGTACAGCAAATAGAATGCAGGAGTTATTCCTGTAAAGACTTCATAATACTGTGTTTATGCTATAGTTTGTTTCAGTTTTTAGTATTTAGTATTTACATGGCTTAAAGGATTTGCAATGATTTATTATGAAAACTGTCACCTTGTATCTGGGTGCAGGATCAGAAGAGTCTAGTTACTGTCTGTGAGCAGCATGAAATAAAGTGACAGCCTTAGTCTATTTCTAGAGAGGAGGTGCTATATCCCAAGGCTGCAACCAAAGTTGCAAAGGAGTCTGTAAATTATATATAAAATTTTATTTTACCTATCCAGTTTAGGATTTAGACACATTAAAAAATACAGCCAAGCCTGCATGTTTTAAGTCTGTGTTTGAGCCTTCTCAGACTTTAGCTTTCAGGGATGTTGCTGAAGTTTGATTATTACTATACTTTGTGAAACACCCACATAAACCTTTGATATTAGAAAAACCATTCTGGGATGGTTTAAATTATGTAGAATAGGATTCACATTTCCATCGTTTTAAGCATGAAGTTGATTAAATCAGTGAAAACAGATAACATGCTAGCTTTTGTTTCAGCATTGTTACACATTACTCTAAAATACAAATATATTGATATATATTGTTTTGAAATCAGTGTGTTCCAGGGCAATGGCTTCCAAAACCCCAGTTGGATTCATTGGGCTGGGTAACATGGGAAATCCAATGGCAAAAAACCTGTTAAAACATGGATATCCAGTTATTGCATATGATGTGTTCCCAGAAGCTTGCAAAGAATTTCAAGACTTGGGTGCTCAGGTATAGTAATAAACTTTCTTTATTTCAACAATGACTGTATGTGTTGAATGGTTCCTGCATGCAACTCAACTAAATAATCTGGGGTTTTTTCTTGGTTAAGGTCACAATTGGAATTAAAACAGCATAGTGAATGCAATCAGAACCTAGGAGGTTTCACTTGTGGGCAAAGACATGATTCTAACCTAAGTAATTTTCATGCTGTTAGCCAGAATTGCTACCTTGCTGGACTTCTCTAGCTGGTTTTTTCTTCCCCCTCCTTTTTATGAGAGTAGGTTGATGGCCTGTTCTTTCAACCTCCTTCTTTCTCATGCTTCCTCTTCCCCCAGGTCTAGATGTCCAGTGGGCTGCTTTTCATCTGGTTCCTACTTTGACCTTTTCAGGTTAAATGACCCTAGTTAAAAATTCCTGCTGGCATAGCTGTAAGGGTTATAGGGACGTATGAGCTTTCCTGCTGCTTCAAGGTGCAGTCCTCAGGGGTAGGGGAAAATTCTAATTATTTAAGGAAGGTTATGGTGAGAGAAGAGGAAAGAACGAAAAAGAAAAAGGAGGGAAGGAAATCGATCACATTAAGGAGCTTTACCTTCCTGCCACATACCCTGCAAAATCTTGGCCCTGTTCCAGTCAGTGCTATTGCTTTTGTTGATCTGTTAATACACCCAGAAACCCTTTCAGTCTCTCAGATGGTTGGGTTATTTCTAGGTGTCTGAAATGCATTTGAATGTTTTTAACGTGCTTCAGAGCAATAGCAGTTTAGACGGTTGTGAGTGGGTGGATAGGTGCATAAAACACTGAAACAAAAGAATGTACTCGCATGAGGAGAAACCAATGGAAAAATAGTGCTCTGATTTGACAGTGTAGAGGATGGGAAGGAATTCTGTAGCAGTGGCAGGGAAATTGTAGGTAGATCTAGACAGAGGAACTGCATGCATTGAAAGTCTAAACTGTTGAAACTTACTGCAGCTGGTTTATAATAATGAGGTAATATCAAGGTTCCCAAAAGATGAAATGATAAAGTGTACCTATTGGTAATTAACTGCAGCTCCCCTTGAACAATTACAGAATCATGGCCTCAAGTGGAAAACTAAGCTTTGCAGCTTCTTTTCCTAATTACCCTTTTTATTTTGTTAAAGCAGCTGAGATCCTCAGGAATGAGCCAGACCCTTCTTGGGTCAGAGACTGGGCAAATGGAACAATTGGTTGTATTTTTAATCTGCATTCTGCAGTGGGATCTCTTTGCTGTGGCTGCCCGTTTAGATAGCTTATTGCCATAGTAATAGAATCCTTGGCATCCTCTGCAGGACTTAACATGTGATATTAAAGCTGAACTGTAGTACTTTCAAAAATAAATCCCAAAGTATGTTTTAAGATCGTAAATCACTAAGAGAATACATGGGTAGGCTTAAATACAAATAAAACACACTTAAAGAAAATATGCAAACATAACTTCTTCTTCTTGATCTATAGGTGTAAATCCTACCCTGACATTTTTTTTCAGGAGCTGGAAAATTGTGGGTCCAGGGGGCCTTACAGAAAGTGCTGTAGAAGGAATATTGGGCTCCAAGGGCTGGTTTCTCTTTAGTCTGGCTGGTAGGGTAAAATCATCAGGAGTGTTACAGAGGTGAATAGATTCCCCCCAAGAGACAGTAAAGTTGTCAGATGTTCATTTTTAAAGTCAGTGCTACTACCAAGGCATATGGAGGGTGATGGATGCTTGATCATGATTCCATATATTCTGTGACTCCACTTTATCTTCTAAAGTAAAGAACTGCGAGATAATGTATGTCAGGAGGCAGCCACCTGCCTGCTGATGGTGAATAGTAAGGGAAAAACTGTCTGAGCAGGAGCATATGGAACCGCTTGCGGTGAAACTTGGAGAAAGTTGCAAGGCTGCAAACAAAGGCGAATACTGAACCGTGCTGTGAGCAAGTAGGCTGCCTCCACACTCTACTGTCTTTCTCCTTCCTCCTAATTATCACTTTCTTTCTCACACATATGTGTCACACAGTTGCTTTGCTTCAGTTTATGTATCTATTTGACAGTTTGAGAACGTTACTGAAGTCATCTGGTGCATAAAGCAGCATAAAAACAGTTTCCTTCAGTGTATTCAGTAAGAATGGCATTTCAGGCAAGCAGAATTATTGACTTATCATAAATATAAATAAAAAATTAGGAAAGCATTTTGGACAGATATAAGCAGATGCACATGTTGAAGGGCATAAACCAATGTCCAGTTGAAGAAAAGTCTCCCCTACCTAGCTGCGCACTGGAAAAGTTTACTTGAACTGGCAGGTGTCAGAACATATATGAAACTTGGTGAGTATCACTTGGTGATACTCCAAGCCCGTATGCTCTATGTTAGTAATCAGCAATTAGTATTTGGTATGTTTTTTAAAGTTACACACATATTCATAATTATTTCAAATGCTTAATGTTTCTTTATAGCTTTCAAATAATTAAACTTGATTTCTGAGACAGAAAGTCCCAAATAAAATAAAAGAGGTTGTGTATACTGCTTGTTGAACCAGGTAAATAGGTTTCCTCTGGAATTATTAATCGTATTTGTTAACAGTACCAGAAAAGTCAAGAATGGCAATTCCGCTTCAATTCCTACTTGGTTTTTTTTGCTACTTACTTCAAGGTAACAAAATGATTTTCCTTTGTGGGGTTGTGGAAGTACTGTCCTAGTCTATGTACATTTTTAATCTCATTTTCTTCCTATAAAAGGTATGTCAGTATTCTGAAACACATGGATGGAATAAATTAAAGACACTACTATGTTTTTTTGTATATCTCTGTTGCTTAAGAATTGTTTAAATCTGTAACAAAAAAAACATCTATATCCTGTCTAGCCAAGTGCAAATGTGAGGCTGATGTAGTTTTTAAGCTGTGTCCAATATAGTATGTTTCTCAGCTTCTGGTCGAAAGGTGAAAATGTATCGCAAAGTCTTCAGCTGAAAACTTGTAAACCTCTAAGAATACTGGAGATAATAGTTTCAAATAAGAAGATGTATATAAATGCTGGTTCCAGCTACACACATCTTCTCTCTTTCTGTAATAATACCCATTGGAACTGAACCAAACCAAAGATACTCAGAACTAAAGACAAAGGTTTCATACTCTTATATAAAGAGCTAGGTTCTCCGGTCTCCAGGGAAGCAAGTCATAAAATTAACTAATCAGATATAGAAGCTTTTCTGCTTATAATTGCCTCATTTATTCCTCCTAAGCTTTGTTCTTTAGACTAGGGTATGTTTCCTTTTATAACTGTGTGGTATACCAGATGTTTTGTGTACTATTAACTTATTCTTTCAAACCAAAACCTGCCTCTTTCTAAGTCCCGTCTATGCCAGTTTCTTTTCCTTTTTTTTTCTGAGTGAGCTTTGTTCAGTGAGTATATACATTCTTTTCTTCTCTTACTTATTTTATAGTCAAAGTCAAGAAAGTTTCTTCTGCTGTATCCCAGAAGTCCTTCAAGATCGTATTCAGCATTTCTTACAAATGTGTATATAACACGCTTTCTTTGATGCTGAGTCATTATAAATGGATTGTATCTAAAAAGTGAATGTATTTACATAGGGCCTTTAGTCTCAAAACTAACAAAAATGGTAACAAATACCTGTAGTTATCAATAGATAAGGAATGGTGAAATGAGGTCATCAATTTGTTATTTATTTAGCTGCCAATACCTAATGATATGTTTTGAAACTTGGTCAGATATTTTTAGTGAAGGATGCTTGAGTTGATAATTTTCCTTTCTAAAAATGTCAGCTGTAACATTGTGAGGAACATCATCTGATTTTTTTTTTAAGGGGAGGCTGAAAGGTGCATTAAGTAATATTTTCTTTTACCTCAGTCTTCCTCTCCTCCAGTGTTGTACATAAGACAAGAAAAAAAGCGAGATTTTTGTGGTGCTTCCTGTTGTCCCTCTTTAGAAATGTTCTAAAGCAATATTTCCTATAGAGGGGTGGTTTATAGTGAATTGAAGATTCATGAGTGGATTGGTGGGATGCAAGCATCCCCATTGACAGATGTTCTGGAGGACCTTCTGTGGTAGGACATCCTTTCCAGATTTTTTTGTTTTCTGTTACTGGATCCAATTAATCAACGTTTCCATTAGGAGGGCAGGTTTTGCTGTGTTACATTTTTTTACCTAGCTTTGTTGTGACCAGTGCCCTGTGAATACTGAAAGCAAACTCAGGAAATGTGTCTGACGTCTCTTTTTCAGGAAGTGTAAGCTTGCATAATTTTAATATGGGTTTGGTTTTGTTTTTTTTTTTCTTTAAAAGGTAACAGATTCCCCAGCAGATGTAGCAGAAAGAGCAGACAGAATTATTACCATGCTGCCTTCAAGTCCCAATGCAAAAGAAGTTTACACAGGAGCAAATGGAATTCTAAAGTAAGAATTTTTTGCAGTTTGGAGCATTCCCAGTCCTGCTCATGGCTGTATTACATTGTTTGTCAAATGATTGCTGTTGCTGTGACTCTTGCTGTGCCTTCAGGGCACATCATGTTTTCCTCTGCTTTGTCATTACTGATATTTCTAATTACATGAGTTCTCTTAATCTGTGTTTGCATTTGAATGGCTTTTAGCTAAACTCTTCATTTATTTTCAGTAGAACAATAGTTCATGTGAATTTGAGGTAATTTAACTATTATCTACCTTCTCAGTTGCATGTTTCTTTTACTGTAATGTATTACAGACAAGTATAACTAGAATATTTGCTGGCAAAAATTATTTGCTCCAGTGCTTCTTTCTTTAACTTCAAATTCTATAAATTAAATGTTCTGAAGTGGTGTCATTTTGTCTCATGGTGTTAAAGTGCATTAACATGGAATACCTCACAAGGCTTTATTGTTTTCTACTCTTATTGCCTGTTTATTACACAAGAAATTATCTGAAGAGTTTGTTTAATGCAAAACTGGTTTTTAACTTTTGTGGAGAGATTTCCACAAATCCATAGTTTGTGGAATTCTAGTACTCACAGTTTTTGGACTTTTCAAATAAAAAAATAAATAGATTTAAAAGGTTTTTCTGTCCACATGTGCACTGCTCCTGACAGGCTGACTAGGGCTGCTCAGTACCTCTGAGGATTATGTAGGATCTCACAGCTATCCGGGTTAATAATGTAAAGGAAGAAACATACAGAAGACAAAAATACAGTAGATTGTCTAAAACGGATGATAGGCAATATTAAGGTGGACTGATAAGAAAATGAAGTAGAGGAGGAGTATTTCTATTCTTCTTGCAAAATCAGAAATAATAGCTGCTTCCTTCCCTTACTGTCCATAATTAATTCCTCACAAAGTAGGACTGAGCAGATCTAAGTATCCATAACTTAAGACTCTTCAGGGAAGGGTAATTGGATCAGTCCCACAATGCTGGGCAAGCAGCTGCAGGAGAATTGTATCCAGGATGGCGGCGCTTGAAGACTTTGCAGTACTTACTGATGTAATACAGCCAGTTAATCTTTTGAGGACCTAGATGTGGAAGAGCACAGGGGGAGCAGGGAATGTGGAAAGCAGTCCTGCATTGTTGCAGTTTTTCAGCCACTTCAAGAGAAGAAGGCATAATTTGACAGTAGTGGTTAATTGTCACACTAGAGTGACCTGGTCCTTGGTGATTGGTTTGACTTTGATCATATTCTGAAGAAGTCGGTTTCTTTATCTACTGAAGAAAACACTGAGGCTCTGAGTGTTTAAAGGTTAACTTTATCATCCTGTTGTGTTACCAAGGAACTGCTCCTTATTCTGAATGTTAGGGGAGATGATGTAGTACTGTATCTACCACAGTGGTTTTCATTTACATGTGTTCAAACTAACTGCAGCAGCTCATCCCACCTGTGAAAAAGGACAGGTTCTGCCCAGTATGTGGCACTGTTTGAATCTGAAGCTGTAGTAGGGCCCACGGTTGTATGTGTGTATTCAGACTATTTCCATCAATCTAGGCAGTTTGATTCGGCAAAATTCACTGTACTGTCAAGAGCACACAAGGTGCAGCAAAGCTCTTCATCTGTTATGCATAGCTTCAAATTACTTGCTTTTTTATGACAAAAAAATTATGCTGTTTGATTTCATGGTGGTTGCTGGTCCAGTGGACATGAAGTCATGCAATTGAATGGAAAGAGAGATAAAAAAAAAATCGTTTTTATTATTGTTGAGGGCATTAGAAAATTGTACTTTAATTGCATTTTTTGAACACTTATACAACTTTTTGTGTTCTACAGTTTGGGGTACAATTCTTCTGCCTAAATTTAGCAGCTATCAATGGGAAAATTTAACATTTTCCCCCCTGCTTCACTTTAGAACTGCAGTGGGTTTTTGTGGTGTTAGTTAAGACCTTTATGTTGAATAAATTTTAGCAATGATTAAAAGAATGCAGTCAGGCTATTCTGATAAGTACTTAAGATATTGTATATGTATAGAAAGAAAATTGTATTAGTATATATGAAATTTTAGGCTGCTTTACCATTTAGTTCAGTTGCTTGCAGTACATCTTAGATGATCCTTATGTGATATACTGCCCAAACTAGATGATTTTGATGTCCTTTCCAACCCTAACCATTCTATGATTCTATGGCAAGTTTTCCTAAGGCACCGTTTTTGTGTATTTTTTTTAATAATAGTGTTTAGGAAGCATATCCTTTCTTGTGTTCAGATTTTATTGTGTTTGAGTCATTTAGAACTGCGGTATACATACTCAGCAGTGTACATACTGAGCAGATCTTGCTCAGTAACGTTTAAAACTTTCTGTTTATTAGTGTACCAAAAAGTGTCTCTACATTTATCATGTTGAGGAAAGCCAGTACCGTGATAATAGTTGCAGATGTCTTGTACAACAAATAGTTAACAATAAATCTTAATTTTAGGAAAGTGAAGAAAGGCTCATTGCTAATAGATTCCAGTACTATAGACCCTGCAGTTTCAAAAGAATTAGCCAAAGCAGTTGAAAAAATGGGAGCCGTTTTCATGGATGCCCCAGTTTCTGGAGGTAAGTCTTCATTAAGAGTTTGCCCCATATTGGACATGTTGTCTCTTTGTTTGCAATTTCAGCCATCAGTTTGTACCCTTGCTGGTAAAAGTTGCTTTTCTTTGCTACATGTACAGCATTATTTTTTATTTTTTATTTTTTTAAGAAATGTGTGTTATTGTAGAAATATTTTTAAGATTGAAGAATTTGCTTTTATGTTAGACCTGGGAAAACTGAGCTTTCATATGATGTGGTACAGTGGTCCTTTTAATTTATTTTGTAAAGTTGTATTTTTATGCAGGTATTAACATCTCTTCAGTCTCCATACATTTCTTTCTGTTAGGGAAAGACTGTTTAGTTACCATTAAGCAGTTCTGCTCCTTTTTCCGTTAATTAACAAGGAAATAATGAAGAGAGGGATGAAGGATTTTGTTGTCTGAAAAAAAAAGAGAGCTTTCCTCTGGTTTTATAACAGTTGAAGAATGTGGGTGATACTTATATATTCTTGAAGTTGCTGATTACTGATCAATGAAATACTGAGTATTTCATCTCTTGTGAGAAATAACATAGGGCAGAGAGGTCTTTTATTCTGTGCAGAGAGGAAAGCAGAAGCACCAAATTAATGTTTTGAAAACAGAGCTATCATTGAATTCTTCTCTAAAACCCCTAGAATTAGAAGGTGAGGAAAACTCATATTGTGTGGGAAAATCTTGGAGTATTTACAATCCACTCTAAAATTTAATGTTAGTGGCATCATGAGAGTTCTTCATTTTCCTGTCTTTAATGAGGTAATTCAGATAGTTGTACCTGAAAGAGGATAAAAATGTGAAGGGTAAGAGAATGTAGCCTTACAGAATTTATAAGAGGTATGATGCTCAAGCTAGAAAGAGCATAGCCTGAATTACAGCTCATGAAGATGAGTGTGGGTGGGGAGCAAAAACTAACCATCCTTTTAATTTTCAACTGAAAACTAAGGCAGGGTTTGGCTACACACTAGAAGCCAAAATTTTCATTCAAATTCTAACGTTAACAGAAAGTTGGAAGATTAAGGTAGGTAATATTGAAAAAGATAATGGGGAAGACAAGATTCTTGCTTCTCAGACAAAATATTAATCCTTTTTTTTTTATAAAATTAGATAACTTGTCAGCCTGGGAATAAAAACCATGGGAAAAAAGTATACTGTGGGCTGATTACATATATCTGATCCTTTTCTAAACACAGCATGGCCTTCTACTTATCATTTGGGCAATTCTGACATCTTCCATGTGGTTCTTTTCAGTCCCTTTCCCCCAAATATGTTGTTTACCCAAGGGAATTATTTACCTTCTAGAAATCTCTGTAATTGTTTTTTAACTGTGAGGCTTTAAGGCTGCTATAACTACGAAGAATGAAAGAAAACTTTGATTCCAAACAACCCTACCTGTCTTGGGGGTTTTGTTTCTTGAGAAAATGGTGATGTTGAGTCTGGGTTTAATATACAGTGGACTGGTCTGAATACAAATTGCCTTTTTGGCATTAGTGGTTTATCTGAATACAAGTTATTTGGTGTTTAGTGTCAGTTACAGATGGAGTGATATTCTGAAGGAGGGAAAAGAACTGAGATTTAGCTTTCTAGTACATCATACATTTGTGAATGCCAGGGAGTGCTCTGTACAAATCGTGTTTGAAGTGGGCAGTTGCTAGAAATGTGGAGAGGTTAAGTGTGCTGGAAAGAGATTTTATGTTATGCTTTGTTATTTCCATCTTTCAGGACCTAGCATATCAAGTTTTTGGGTGTTTTTGAATGTCCTGACTGGATTGTTGGCCTTCAGACAAAAGACTAAATGGAGAAGTATGCTCAGCTCTTTAGAAATTGGCAGGCATTATTCTGTTGCTGTAGACTTGGCAGGAGTGTGAGGGAGGGTGTTTGTGGGATGCAGTGAGGAGGAAGAGAAAGCAGCATGCCTGAGCTGTTGTCTTTAGATCTGTCTGTTTACTAGCTGTTATTGGCAGACAATTCCACTTGTGTTTTTAGATATTTGGGTGTTGCCTGATGGACGCTCATGTTCATCTGCACTGTGAACAAGTTATTTCTCAAACTAAATAATATTTTGAATATTGCTTGGGTTATAAACCTTACAGAGAAATAATGGTGATTTTAATCCTGTCTTGATATTGCAACAAAGTATCTTAAGGCCTAGTGTTAGTGCCAGATTTTATTGGCTTATTTGCAGCCCTTAGCCCTGAAAGATACCCCTGATCTTTTTCAGATGGCCTGTGCACCAATGTAGTAGAGACGTCTTCTTCATATGATTCATCTGCAGCATTTACTTGCAGCTTACAGTCAGGATGCATTAGTGGAAATTGATGCACCAAGTTATTTTGTATTAACTGACTTTGAAAATACTTCTTATCCCTGTAGTTGCATGCAGATTACGCTGCTAATGCTGTCTAGAGATAGCAATCGGTTTACCCTGGGATTAGGATCTCTTGCAGGTCCACATGAGAAAGTTGTGTCAGAGTTCCCAGTGCTGCCCTGATTTGTGAGCTTTGTGAGAATATAACAAATGAGGAAACTTCTTCAAAATCTGTGTGGTTAGGGTTTTTTATTGTTTTGGTTGGTTGTTTTTTTAAATCTGGAGGAGTGTATCTTTTTGCAAAGATTGGTTTCTGCATCTTTGTATGTATTAAAGGCTTTTAAAGCACACATTGTCACAGAAGCGTATTTAAAACTGGCTTCTCCTGGTGGTGAAGATACTACTGGTTGAATAAAGGATCTAAATTTAGCCTTCAAGAATTGGGTTGAGTTTGTCCTTCCACTGATTTCACTGACAGTATGATACAGATTCCCACCTTGCAATCCAGAACAAGCCTTGCTAATGCTTTCACTGATGTTACTGTAACATTTCTCTCTTTAATTCAGTATACAAAATGTGGATTGTCTAAAGTACAGTCAGTGAAATGGCTTTTTGATTCCTGATGTGATACTTTCTTCATTGTAAGCATTGTTAGTGTTCAGATACTACCTACTGACTCTTGAAATTACATCAGCTCCTCTTAGGCTCAAAATACGTTGTACTGCATTCTGCTGGAACTTCACAAAAAGGTGTGACAGCTGGATTTACTTTTCTGGTTTTGGAGGTACAGATAAACTGTTTTCAATTCTTTTGTACGTGCAGTTCTTTATATCCGATAATGAAACTAGATCTTTTTTCTCATTGTTTCCTTTAGCCAATAAAAAAATCAGACTGCTAATTGTTAGTAACAGCTGTCATTCAGAGAACTGGAATCATGCTACAATGATAATAAACAGTAGAATGAAACATTACTTTTGTAGGAACCATGGCTTCGAGCTGGTTAGAAAAGGTTGGAGATTCTATTGCAGCTGTCATTTCAAACTGTTTGATCTCATAGTACTACTTCCATAAGTTCCAGCTAGCCATTAAGTGGTGGAAAGAACATAAGTAGTAGCACTTGCAAATTGAGATTTCAGCTCTCTGGTAATGTAAAGTAAAATGTGAGTCCTTGAAGGGCAAATTGCAGATTTATCTCCTGTATGACCAGATATGTACTTAATATGGAGCAAAGAAAAATAATGTTTATAAATACTGTGAAGATCTTTTATTTCATTTCAAAGAGCAATATGTTTCAATATTCCAGCTTTTTTATTAAAATTAAAAGAGGGCACCTGCTCAGAACTGAAGTGAATGTATTTCAGTGGCATCATCACACTGATAGCAGATTAAATAGGCCAAACGGTAACTGGTGAATGTGATTCTCTTACTTGAACATTGAACGTTTACTGCAGTGTCTTTTCAAAGGGAAGCAGAAGAGAGGGTCTTGAAGAAAAGTTAAGACTATGTATATGCACACCAGTGCTTGCAAAGATGATTTGAAAGATATTTTCAGACTAGACTAAATAATAAAAAATAGTAATTAGTGGTTCAAATGTTGTATCTCTTAGCTTGTAAATTCTGTTGTAATAAGGAGGCAAGGAGGCATCACTGATGTGTTTGCCAGATGTTTTGTTTGGTTTTGGCTTTTTGACCTGCTAATTCAGTGACTGGAATATCTGTTAAGATCCTTGAAACACTGTCATGATGAAGCAGGTTTATGACTTTGGAACTAATAATTCTGACCTGTCACCCTCTATGGCAGGTGTTCTTGTCGGTGAGGAAAAGATCTAACGGCATAGCAGTATTTGCTCCATTGTTATTTCTTGATTTATGCTTTTATGCTTTCTTTCTAAAGCCTGAATGCGTGTAGTCAGGATGGCCGCAATGTTCTCTGTGCTCCTGGTACTGAGCATATAATTTTCACATCATGTCTTCTTCAGCTCTTCCTCAGCCATTCCACATCTTGCCTAATCTTTCCTAACATGTTTCTTAATTTCTGTGTGTGCATTTTTTCTGGGTATATCTGATCTGATTAACTTTTTACAAAGTTGGTGATGTAGGTATGGTGGTAGAAATTACAATGTGCAACCTTAATGTTAAAGGTCATATGAAAAATGTTGTTGAGTTATTCTGAAATTTAAATGAGGTAAAAGTATTGCAGGAAGTAACTGATAAAAAAAAAAGGGAGAATCAAGTGAAATGAGGACAAAGAAATATTTTGACATCTGAGATGCTTAAAAACCGTCTGATTCCTAATAGCTTACATTTTGACCTCTTTAATAATACTTACGTTTGTCAGAATTAAGCTGGTTTAATAGACTTATTTTGTTTGAGAGAAGATGGAAATTAATTAAGATCTTGAAAATGTTACACATTCGATGAGGATGCAAAAGGTAGCAGGAGGCATGAAGAATAAACAGGTTTGTTGAGGGTATCATCTAAAAGTGTTCACTGAGGTGGAGACAATTATCCTACTATGACTAAAAGGGTGAAATGACTGATTTTATTAAAGTATAGTGTATTTTTTGGCTGTGCAGTTGTGTGTAGTCTGGCCAACTAGTGACCGATGTGTAGGAAATATATCTGTCTCCATTTATTCAAAGGTGTGAAGATGAGTTATTTGTGATGACCCAATGGGATATAAC